AATAATTTATTTAATTTATTTATTGATTATTCGCCTTCAATTATTTATTAAATTTAATTATTTATTTTTCATTTTTAACAATATATTTAATTTATTCATTTTTCTTCTACTTTTAATAATTTATTTTACTTATTTATTTATTTTTTACTTTTAATCATTTATTTTATTTATTTATTTATGTTCAACTCTTAACAATTTATTAATTAATTAATTTATTATTAACTTTTAATAATTTATTTAATTTAATTCTTTATTTTTCACTTTTAATATCTTCTCTAATTAATTCATTTACTATTTACTTTTAATAATTTATTTTAATTTTTAATTACTTATTTTATTTACTTATTTCTTTAATAATTGAATAAATGTTTTACATTTTATTTTTTTTAATTTCGTTGGTGTTAGTGGACATTAAATATTTTTATAACTATTAAATTCTTACCATACTTCTAAATTGTATTCGTTCGAACGATTTGCACGCGATCTCTTTTACTCGATGCCGGTTGAAGTAAGTTCGGTCGCGGCCGCGACATCGCGAGTGTTTTGAAAGTGTTGCAAGAAAGAAAGAAGGAATTTCGACCAATTTTGACATCGCTATATTGACAACGTGGCAAGGGAAGGACAGGGTGACGCTGATGCCAGGACGAGGGCGACAGCCGATCTAGGGTTGCTTCGATAAGGACGTGAACAGTCGGTAAGTCGCATGTTTACGATTCCTCTGGTTACCCATCATGTCGTAGGACTAATGGTCCGAAACGGCATGGGTGACTAGTTGTATTTAATTATTTTCGTTGCATGCATACTAACCACGAGTGCTAATATACTAATGTACAATAGTACTCGTGCAATATATATTGCTGTGATGTATTTGTTGTATTTGTTGGATCAGGCTAGGGCTTTCTTGTGCATCGCGTATGAGAATCTCTCAGTTAAAATAATTTTTAATTTCTATTCTGAATAGAAATTTAGGAATTTTTGGTTGTTCATTTCTTTCATTGTCATAGTTATTTCACGAGATTTTTACGACATACAAGTAAAAGAAAGAATTCCTCTCGGAGTTGTTACCACAATTAAAGTAACAATGCGATTGTTTTGAAATTATTAGAGGTGTCTTTTCCTTCGTTTCAATAATGTATACTTTTTTCTTGACACGAATTTATGAGTCAATTAAAAAGAAGAGTAATCCCAATACCATAACTATCACGAACCCCGATTTTCAGTTAAGATTTTCAGCAAGAGAACACAAGCATTTTTTATAATTTTTTTTCTTTTGTCACTATGCTCGCTCCTTTGCTTTATTATAACTTACAAGAATTTTGTATTTTTGCACATTTATGCAGTATTACTGTGCTTACTCTGCACATTGTAATGGGGAGCTCGTCGAAGTTCCTTGAAATTCGATATATTAAAAAATATATTCGATATATTAAAATATATATTCGATATATTAAAATATATTCGTGAATTAAAAGTTTATACCGTTTTCATATAATATACTGAAAACCGAAGTCACTAATTATATAACACCCTATGTGGCTGCTCGCATACTATTTACCATTATTGTTGCGACTTTTAAAGCCCCGTCAGTGTCCCGTTTTTAAAAAATTATTTCTTCTTTCATTATACAATAATATTATGCAACTACCAATTCTCCCTCTCAACTTTTGTTTCCGTCTCATTATTAATTGTTCTCCCTTGGTTACCTTGTAACAAATTTTGTATCATATTCTGTATTGTTTATTTGAATTATTTTCTGTAATCATTTTGGGACTATGTTTTGAGACATATTCTTGTACCATATCTTGTGCTATATTTTAATGATGTTTTCAGGCACGGGTCTCGATTGCGTAGCCACCTCCACGTGGTGAGATCTGGTAATTGGCATCGTTTGTCAAAGATGTATTTCCATATTCGTGCAAATAAATTTTATTTAGTAATTTTCGGAATATTTCATAAGTTCATCTTTGACAAACGATGCCAAGCTAAGAGCTGCGCAGTACTCGCAGTCCAGCCTAGCCTCTGGAAGGCTACTTCCGGGTATCTTGGAGGCTAGGCTGGAGTTGCGAGTACCACTTTATTTGCCCCCCGCGCACGGGGCAACGTGGGACACCGTGGGATGCGTGTGTATTAGGTTCAGTTTGTTACAGAGTAAGTCTCCTGGTTATTTCCCTTATATTTCGTTTCCTGCCACAATATACTGTGTTTCATTTGGAACGAATACTTTTCACATTATCTTTTCTCCATTTTGAAAAACGAGCGATTGTCCATTCGTTATCGCCCATTACTTCGAGCTAATGCTCGACGTACTCGTTTGCGTACTTGGGCGCATAGGGCCCACTGTGAGTCGTTCCAAGATATAGACAGTAAACAAGGTATCAGGGCAAAAATGTTTAGTATCTAATATAATTTAAGTATTTAAATTAATCGAAAAGTACTCGTCGTTATCGAAACATTTAAAAACGTTCGATCTAGCAAAACGTCATCGTGAAAATTATTTTATCTCCCTCTTATAAATACTAATTCATAGATGTGCGTTCGGTATTTGAAAACAAAACGACATAATTAATGTCTACAAATTTTATTACAGAGTAACATGAATTTTGGTTCAGCTAAATATTTCTAATTTGAAAATATAATCAAGTGCATACAGTTTTCAATATTTTCCAATTTAAATGGCAAAGTCGATGTACAGTCGTAAAAAATCCGGTCGTCAAAATGTTGTACAGGTTCGGCATTGGTTGCGCAAAAGTGATCTAGATTAGCCTAAAAAATGTAGACAGCGTCCTCGGATGATTCTAGAGGACCTTCGCTCATCAGAACCTTTTGCTGATTACTGATCCAAGATACGAAGGAGGATACTCTCGTGTAAACGTCGGGTTTTCCAATGGCGCAAGGTGAACCGAAGGAAACGATACCGATTTGTTTTCCATTAGCGACAAGAGGACCGCCAGAGTCACCCTGAAATTCCAAAGAAAAGAATAATTATAGCTTCAACATCAGCGATCGGAATTTTCACGCGAGGGAGTTTAATTAAACCGCTTGGAACATGGGTGAAATTGGATCAGTACCGAAATCAGTAACACAGTCTTAGAAATATAATTCCAGTTACGCGTGACGATTTTCGTGCTACTAGCAAAATTACTACGTCATAGTCGCAGTATATATTAACGAAATAGCTGAACGAAATATTTAAGTACAAGATGCGACGATTATACTTACATGGCATGCACCTTCGCCGACTTTCGTGAGTGTACAGATGTGGGAGCTCTGCACTCTCCATTGAGCCTTCTTGCAAGCATCCTGCTTCTCAACGATCAAGTCAATGTATTGAAGGTTGTTTGGTGAATTTCCTCCCAACTGTAAGTGGAGTAGACATTACACGCGTTACTAACAGTTTCCATTTTCCACATAAACCAGGAACTGTCATACGATTCCAATAAATTCGAAGAATTGGAAGAAATTTAAATACTCAGAGCATGAGTGCATCTCGAGAATTTGAAACGTTAATTATTCGTGGATTATACCATGAATAATTCCTAACTTTGAAACCATAAATTTCTTCGCGAGACCTTCCTGTCAAAGATTGCAATTGCATGTCACTCACTACGGTGGTTCCCCAACCGGACAAAACGCAGGATGATCCTTCGTAGGTGGCGCTACCGGTAGCCAGAGGGATTGCCTTGACCAAGCTGTTGAATGCGATATCTTTGTCCACGCGAAGCAAAGCCACGTCGTTAATGAGTCTGATAGAGTTGTACTCGCGATGCTCAGCAATCTTCTCCACTCCGTAAGCTTCACCAGCTGAGCTCAGTTGATTTGTTCCGACATGGACTGAAATCTTTCTGGGATCAGTCTGTCTGTAACATGGACACGATTCGATTATCATCAGTAACCAATAATCTCGAGGTGTGGGACCTAATAGAATCGTATACTCTTAATAGCTGCCACACTCGAAGAGTGTAAACGTCCGATCAGACCGTGAGGCTTTAGTTTGCTTCGTTTTAATCTTCGACACTGGTAAAGGATATGAAAAACGAGAAGCGTTCACGAGATAATAAGCACCCGTAGGTTAAAAGAGAAACAACAAACATCTTATACGAGAAGCGTCAACTCCCAACAGGGTTGACACGAAATAAGTTATAATTAAAAAGAAAGAAGAAAAGACTTTAGTTTTAATTTAACTTTGCACGTAACGATTCGATTTAGCACGATGTTATGATTTCTCGCGAATGAAACGCCGTGCAATATACGTACCCATCGACACAGTGAGCAGCAGTGAGGATGTAACGAGAATTCAAGATGGATCCACCGCAGAAGTGCCTTCCGTTTTGCCTTAAGGAGACTTGGTAGGGAAACTTTCCAACTGGTGCATCTTGCCCACCGACAATTTGGCCTTCGGGGAAGGCTGCGTGGAAGAAATCGTGATAAAGTTACATTTTACACTTCATCGATCGTTATTAATCATCTATACGACACGTCAACGAATTAACCGTATTCTAAGAGGGTTGAGAATGGTCGAGAGTACGCGAACACGAATTTTGATTAATTTTTAATAAAATTTTACGATTAACACGAAGACACAGAAGTATGCGAAGTATATTTTACGGATTAGATCGAAAGCCGAAAATTTTCAAAGGCTTGGAGAGTTTCCTTTTGCCAGTCAGTGTTACTTACCGTTTGCGGCGAGGACAAGGCAGAGTGCGAGGATACTGCTCAAAGCGAACATGTTGGCGAGGATCGCGGAACTGTGACTGACGAACTCTGTATTGATCAGTTTATATACACGTCGGGAGAGTACATCGCGTCGATAAGGATAAACAAAATATTAGATTTTTATCAAGAGCGTGAATGACATTCGAGATACGTGAAAATTTAGTAGCTCTAATTACACGATAGTATCGATATCGTCCACTATCGGATTCTTTCTTTTCTTTTTCTCTTTAGAACGAGGAAGCAATTAAACCGATAACAGACAAACTCGATATAGTTACATTCTTTCCTCTTTAACAGAAGTCGCGTGAAAATTTCAATTGGCAATACGTGCCGATGGATCGAATTTCAGCCGATATCTTTAATCTTTTAATTATTGCCTATCAATTGTTCAATACAGATATTAACACTCGAAACGCGTGTAAGACAGAAATTTAATTGACATTCTCCCGATAAAAAGAGACCTCTGCAGTAATTTCCGAGTATTTCCTTGACATAAGCGAGTAGTCGAAGAATCGCTAAAAATCGGAAAAGCAATTATATAGGATTACTGCTAGATTAATACAACAACCACTCCTTTTTAATAACAAAATAGATTTATTTGAACTAAAATATTACACCAGGTTTCTCTCAACTCTAACTCAAACACACGATTCTCTATTCACTATGTGAGAGGAATCTTTATTTGGATGGCGTCACTCTGCATCGAGATCTATCTTTGTTTCGAGGAACCATTCAGGTTGTCAATTCTCGAAGCAGGGTTGAGTGACGAAATGGGTTGTCATAAGGTCTATAAAAACCTAGCTGAAGGGTTCGACGAGATACTTTTTGACAGTCCACCGTCTGCACCACGCATCATAGAAGACTTCGAGCCTCCTGATTATATTTTATACCGCCAAGAAGTATAAAATATAATCAGAATCAAAAAATCCTTTTTCATTTGTTAATCAGATCTTCACAACTACGTCTCGACTTGCACCCTTATTTAAAGTCAAAACTCTCTCTTTTCGAACACGGGCTTTCTTTCTCGATCACTGGATACAGTCATAGATATCCTGTCAAAATGATTCTTTCGTGCTGTTGCATTTGCCGCTGTTTATTATTCCTCGCTTTTCGAAGAAGAAAAGTGGCCCTTAGAAGTAAGACCGCAAACTCATTCGCCCCGCTATCACTCTTAATATTATTTCCTTTGTTAGCGTCCTTCCTTAATAGCAATACCACATATACGCTTTAATTAAAGCGAGGAATTACACAGGCTCGAGCGGAATTGCTCGATTCGGGTCTCTGTTTCAGCGTCCAATTCCGTTCCGCGAGATTGAAAGAAAAACGAGATCCTCCAGTTACAGAGTCGTTCGAAACTCCTGAAGATGCCCGTCTTATTCATGCGCAACACGCCGGGCAAAAACTTTTGTAATGAGCGAAACGAGCAGAGGGACGATGTTTGCAAATCATTAGTACGACGGCAAGGGCTGAGGGTTGGTACTTTGGGACGAGGGCTAAAAGTCTGCTCGGTATCTTAGAGGTAGCTACGCGTATTATTACGAGTATTATTACGGGGCGTATCCAAGACGCTTGTTTCGCTTCGTTAATTACAACAACATTGGCTCTGGGTATCTCAACACGGCAATTCGGTTGCTGGTTAATCAGCCGCGTATAAAAATCGCGATTGCCATCTCGCCGATGTTAACTCGAGTTCGAGAAATGATTTCGAAATCGATCTCGATCGAGAATCTACGCTCGTGCAATTTTTGCGCAGTACGTTTTATCGAGTAATCGAATCACGGAACGATGAGACGCGATTTCGATATCAAGGTTGTATTTCAAGTGTAGACTGTAGTGGATAGCGTCGAGGAGGAGCACTTGCCCGATAGGCGTCTAACGAATCGAAGATTAACGCGATTCGGTTCGATCGTGGTACCGTTGATAAGAACCAGAGTAATTTCGTTCATTGTGTATCCTGCAAATGAACATATCCTAGCGTTCCCGGTGATTCTGCGAGCATCCAATGGGGGATCTCGCGTCCCTAAGGATCAGAGAAGGCGATTGCGAATAACAAGAACCCTTCGTCTGCGCCACGAGTCTTGATCCTGTTAACGGGATCATCCGGACGTCGCTGATAGGCCGAAAGACCGTGAGATAAAACCGAACACCCTTGAATCTTTCTCTCCGCCTATTGTTTCGAGGTCACTGGATCGATCTAGAGAATACCGTGTTTTCCTCTAGAAAGCTTTCGTTTTCAGACTTTCCTCGACTATGGCCCCGATAATCCAGAGAAACTCGGTGACTTTCGAAAACATTTGACGAATGATTAATCGAAAAGGTATTTTTCCAAGTAGATATTAAATTGCTGAGTTTATTTACCGGATGAATAGGAAAGTAAAAATTGAATATGGCACGAGAACGTTTATCGTCTTCGTTTTTATACGAAGATGGAAAAGGTTTCATTGTTAAGGATAGCAAAGTAGTTTGCAAGAGTGTACCGTGGCATGCATGTCTGAATATTCGAGTAAAGGTTTGCAAATCAGATTTCCCGGCGTTAGGCCGATTCGTAATGCTCGGTCACCGTATTTACATATGCATATCATTTGTCGTATCGCAGGGGAGAAAGCTCTGTGCTGGTAATATCCCAGAGGACTCTCCATATATCCAAATCGCATTACCGCGCTGCCCATTTCGTGCTAAGGTACGTCATGAACGATTTGATATGCGTGCGCTATAACCGAGTTAACAATCCGCCATGACAGATGGTGATCCGAGCGATTTCCCCGCTCTACGTTTCCATCCACGAGCTTCCGGTTCTCGTCGATAATCGGGAAGACTTTTTCGATTAAAGGAACATCGAGAGTGTCAAAAATTAAACTATCTCTGGAACAAATTACACCTGTCTCTGTACAACAATTAACGTGACCGTTTAATCTCGAAAATAATACACTCGGTGTCAAGAGTATTCGGAAATCGAGTGTCAAGATAATGTGTTTGTACGAAAATCGCTTATTAAAATTGTCGAATATCCAGTGGAGGTATCGATGAGTATCACTATCCATCGTTACTTTTGGATAATTAGCTCCTATTAGTATATATATAAGACGGACAGTCGCTGGATAGGTATAGAGGAGTGAGGCCAGCCACGAGTAGAAGAAAAATGTTATACACTGTTATACTTTAGAAATAATATAATCGATATACCGAGTGCTATATAGATTCGAGTTTAGTGATTTCTGATTTCCGCCAAAATTTCGCTCGTTGCCCTATTCTCGCGTTGATCTAATTCCCGACCACCCTCGTGGAATTTCCGCGTTTCCTCGAAGAGAGTTACCACCGGTGGAAAAACGTATCCCGAAACCACTAGCCACCTTCTCGCTATACCGTTTCATCGCGTAAAAAAGGTGCAAAGGACGGCCGCGAGCGTCACGCAGGGAAACGATTTCGAAGATTGCGGGCTGTGGAACAGCGGATACCTCTTGTTCTCCACCCCCGACTCGCGCTCGAATTCGCCGAAACAGACGGACGGTGGCGAGAGAGAAGTAGTTTCTTCGACTTTTTCTCCGGTGTCCACTTGCCTGCCTTATACTTAAACGCAACATTTTTACAGCAAGGGTCAGGCGAGGCTGGTGTAATCACTGTCGAAAAATTGCCGAACATCCACACTGGTGCAGAGCGAAGCGGTGGCGTCGAGAGATCGATGGGAATCTGCGAGTTGTGGGTGCGACGACCCGAAAGCAGAGGAACGTCGTTACACACGGGTCAGCCGCAACGAGTGCTTTTGAGTGGGCGATGGTTATTTTTATGCCTCGTAATTATACATTCTTTTGGCCGTTGCCTCGAACTTTTAGGGTTACATTTAGACCGGGCCAAATCGACAGGCCGCGATTTTCGCGCGCGTCTCTCCCACGATCCTGCGGCACCGCGACGCGTCCTTTCGCACCGCGAGAGCAACCGATCTCGTATCGTTCCTTCGACAACGTTTTCTTCCACCTTCTTCCTCGACACGACTCTCGAGATCTTTCTCCTTGCCCTCGACTCGCTTTTTGCGCAATTATAACGCCGTAACAATGCCGGAAGAGGCAGCGCGAACGGCCATTCGAGAGAAGATGTTAGTGGTCGTATCAGGGAGTATGAAGTCCCGCAGTGATTTCTCAGGCGATGGTTTTCACTTTCATTGTCGCGTTGGAAATGTTCCAGAAAAGCGAGGCTGTGTTCCTTTTAACGTTTCGCGGTTTCGGTAATTTTTATTTTAATTTCTTCCGATTTTATCTCTCGATCTGAAATCGAAGGTTTCGTTTCGAAAATAACTCTTGACGATATTTTCGAGTTTTATAACGTTAATAGGTATTATGGAAGATTTACTGGTTTTATAAAAATAAGTCAAGATAGCAGAGTATTTCCTTTTTGCCTGAAAAGATCGACAAAATTGACGAGAATGGTTTTTGATACCGATTATTCGATGTCCTCGTTCATGTCAGCAAAATCATTAATGGTATATCAATTTTAATTAACATATTGTTTAAAAAAGGAGAGATCAATAACTGGATTTGACAAATTTTCATCGTCTACGATCTGTTTCGATAAAATCGTGAAAAATCCCTGAAGCCGGAATTACGGGTTTCACGATTATCGTGGTCGTGTCGGCTGTCAACGATAACGCGACAGCCGTTATCGTGGCCGTGATTTCGAGATGATGCAACTTCATCGATAAACGCTGGTACACCGTACTCGAGCATACTTACACGGGATACGATAATAATTGCTAGCGTATAGAAGCTACCCTGTGTTTACGAAGGACCTACTATTAGTGCAAACACGTATTAACCGTCCGGTTGTTCTCCGTTTATGGCTGCTAAGTGATTTCATCCACGAGCACCCGTAGAAAGTGCCGGCAAATTGAGCATTTACCAACGCAAAGAAGACGTCAACGCGCGTACACTGTTATGGGGGAATTCAAAGGTCGCTGGCCGAGTATATTAGACGCTTGCGAATCGTTCAACGAACAGCGACTAATTTATTCTTCCTCTTCGTTAGATCGGTTTCGCGTCTAGACCTCAAATTACGAAATATCGCTCG